ACTGAGCTGAGGACTCCATCCCGAGTCATCTAATTTTCAGTATCAAGCTCTGGAAATCCGTCTTTATCCACAAGAACTTCCAAGAATAAGGGAAAAGAAAAGACAGCTGGGAGGTCCCTGTGGTGTAATCCAATGAATTGGAGATACGAAAGGAGGGTTTGGGCCTGACATGAACTCATGAGAGGCTCACCCAGCATCTGCTGCTGCTGGGGGACTACTAGCTCCAGTTTCATGAGGATCCTTGTGGGTAAGTCCGAAAAGCCAGGTGAAACTACAGAAACTCTCATTAACTCTAAAGCGTACAGTCTGGAAAAACCAGACTCCAGCCCCCATGGCAAATCCTCACTGAGATTCCAGGAAATAAATCTATTGTACAAAGAATAATCACAAAATCCCCAGTTACATTAATTTTCATTGTTATTTTACATATTCCACCTACAGAAACACCTTGACTTCCACACAGGAATTAGAATGTGTCAAACCTCTCTCAATATGGTATCAAGAACATAACACTGAATAAAGCAGGAAGCCCCCAAATATTTTTTTAATGATCTAGAGCTAAAATGAGAACAGATCTTATTCTTTAGCTGGAATTAAGGTCCACACCACATCTAACAAAATTATACCTGAGATACAATGAAAGGTCTGTACCTGTATACATAAAACCTGAAGGGGAAAGACAGGACATAAAAACTATGGAAAAAACTTAAGATGATAAAATTAACAATAAATTTACTAGTAACCAAATATTATCTGCCAAAAGAGTAAATGTCATTTAGACTAGATTAATAAAAAGGTATAGTGCCCAGAAATCAGGTTCGAGTTCCAAACTCTTTCATGATGGAATACCGTATTCAAGGTCAGACTTAAAGAACAATCCTGATAAACTGGATCTCGTCAACAACAGAGAGCGATACAGAAAGCAACAGGTAGAAAAACTAACATAATACACGAGGAGGGGGTCAGTTAAACCCATCAGAGCTGCCTCAGTACGATGTATTCCAAAGTAGTTATCAGTATTGGCTCAAATGTCTGCCGTGATGAGCCTACAACAGAAGAGATTCAAGCATAAGAAAGGGACCCCACCACATGAACAGTGCTGAAATGGACCAGCGACATCCCAATCATCCAGAATGCATGTTAAAAATGTATATGACTGGGCCCCATCTCATGTCTAGTGACTTAGAAATTCCAAGGTAAGTATATGCACATGCATTTTTTAAAAGTATGCCAGGTGGTTCTCCTAATGTTTGCGAGCCACTGGATGACCTTCATCATCATCTCTCCAAATTCTGAAATCCTATGATTCATTTAAAAGTCACATTAGTTAAAACTATAGCATTCTTTCCTAAACCATAAAGTGATAATCAGTTTATGGTTTATGGTAAAACTATAGCATTCTTTCCTAAACCATAAAGTGATAATCAGAAAATAATCAGTTGATTATTTTCCATTTTGTCAGCATGTCAGAGGAATTTCTACATTACAAAACTATAGAGAAGAAGGAAACTATTTTTTTATTGTACTACACAATTATGAATAGTGGCCTGTTGGCATGTATTATAGATATTACTAGGTAAAGTAAAGTTTTTCACCACTTTTGCTGAAAAAAAAAATCACACTTGACACATGTAAAAACGCTTTTTAAAAAAAGAACAAAATCTATACAAGTTAATTTTCATTAACTGCAAAAAACTTATCAGTAGTAACTAAAAAGAGTTAATAATTACTCTAATTATTTATTACATTCTGATCAAACATCATCCAAACACTCACTGCATATTGCAGGACCAATGACAGAAAAGAAGAAAAGAAGAAAGCTATGTGCTGTATCAAGGAGCTTTTAGTCTAAGATACATAAACTGATCATTTTGAGTAGATAGAAGAAAACCTAATTGTAAAAATCTAATTTAAGAACATCACAAATGACACTATATTTAATAAAGGAGATTTAAAATATAGAGGAAAATCTCCATTTCTTTATTTTTACTGAGGTAGAACAAAAGCTTACCTCATTTGTTTATAAGGGTAGCTGAATGCTGAATTGATAAGTGTACTGTGGTTGTATAAGAGAAATTTCTTTTTAGGAATTACAAGGCAAGACAGCAAAGCTCAGCAGTCAAAGAAACTAAGCTCAAGTGCAAACCAATATTACCTCTTTCCTATGTAATCTTAGAAAAGTAATTTAATAAGTAGGAGCATCTCTATATCACATTAAAAAGGAAAACCATCTATTTCACAAAGTTGCTATGAGAATAAAGTGAGATACACAACAAGTTGCTCTGTAAACTCAGAAGTGTTAGAGACATGTTAGCTCTTTGTCTTGTATGCAGAACCAATGTAGGGAGAAAAATGCTTCTATATAGCAATCATAACACAAAGCAGAGTTGAAAGACCACATTTTGCTAGAAGGGAGGAAAGGAAGTCTTCGAGGAGAATGTGGTACTTGAGATGGACCTTAATGGATGGATGAGCAGAACATCAAAGTCAGAGAGAGAAGGAGGTAGGATTCTAGGTTAAAGAGATAACTCAAGCAAAGGCATGAAAAAGAGTGTCAAGCATGTAAGATGTAACACAGTTTTTGCTGGAGTCTGGGAAACAAATAATAGAATAACCAGAAATAATGTGAAAACCTGAGAATAAACTGGAGAAGGCTTGCTAACTCCGGCGAGGGCCCAGACATGTGGCTGACTACTCATCTGGACCCAGTTCTAGCACAGGATTCTCCTCTTCCCTGACAGTGCCAACAAAACGTCACTATCCAAAACTATGAAGTTTTCCCAAATAAGGCATGCTGCTTCAGAGGTAATAATTTCAGCAAAACATACAATACACATACTGCTATGAAAGAAAATGCTTTCTATGCCCAAGAAAAATTCAATCCCAAAGAAAATGAATATAATCCAAGAGTTTATAATTTGCATCTAGCTTTGCAACATTTCTTTTCAGTAAAGAACTTCCAAATGACATTTTCTCAAGCCAATATTATTGTAAGAAAATTAAACTACCAACTAAAAGGTCATTGAAAGTGATTATATAACTAAAGTCAAATTTTCTTTTGTCAATTTGACTGACTTTCCTGGAACATGGTTTAATTCAAAATTATATAAGGTGATCAATTTTGCATTTTAGCTTATCTACAATACATAGCTGTGCTTTTCAGGAGAATGTCCTTTTGTTGTTTTTATAATCCTTGAGTCACATAATGTGAAATAATGGATAATTATTCCACCACAAATTAAATTTTTACATGAGTAATTTTGTAAAGTTTTAGGAAGAAAGTTATATAAAATGTCTTCTAATTATAGCACACTAAAAGTCATAAGTCTATTTTAATGCCCTTAACTGAATATTAAATTTTTAAATGGTGGGGGAAAAGACCATAGAATCATTGAAAGTTATTTAGAAATAATCTTAGAAATCATCTATACCAGCCTTCTCATTCAAAAGACAAGGAGTCTGGAGGTAGGAAAATTAAGACTTCCTTCCTATATACTACTAACTAGGTGGGAGCAGATCTAAAACTTAGATGTCAAGTTTTTTGGCACCTGGTGCTGATATGATGACACCACATGCCATCTTGGACTTCACTCTGATGACACATAACTGCAAGAAAAACCAAAACCACACACAAATCTATGTTTACTTAAAAAAAAAAAAAAAACTGCAAAGTTTGCTATTGGGTTGAAGAAAGCAGTTAATGACCTTATAATACCTCTTCCCAGAAATCTCCAAACATATTCAAGTATTGCAAAATACTCTGCTTTTAAATACCTATACTAGTTTAATGATCGAAAAAGAAAATACTAATGGGTTAATGATGCCTTCCCAATGGACACAAAAAGCCACTCCTATGCTGCCTTCAGAGGCCATGAACGAGCAAGCCGGGTACAGCCCCCTCACCTGAAACAGTGAGGGAAGTGGGTAGGAGTAACGCGGAGAACACACCTCTGCAGGTCTGGCATTCTAGGCCGCCTGCTCAGCACCAAAGACAAAAGCAGGAGTACGCACAAATGTCATTCAACTCATAATATTAAAAGAAATCAAAGGAATGCAAATTTAGGAAACCCAGTTCACAGATCAATTGCTGAAGTCAACAGAGAGGTGTTTTAATCTAAAGAGGTTCTCAAGCCTCATTATCTAATAAGTTATCATACTACTACATTTTCATATTAAAATGATGGTCCTGCCTGAGTGTGAAGAGGATGCTACAGCCATAATTCAGCTGTGGAACTCAGCTCCACTTAAAATTCATTCAAACAACTGAACTCTGACCTGTCATTAAGTAGAAGGGACACTGTCCCGCTAGTTTAGTAAAAGCACCTGTGCACCTTACAACTACCAAAGTGTCAGTCTAGCTTTTGCTTCTCCTTTGAAATAAAGCAAAAAGTTCAGCTACAAACTCTTATGACTCAGGTCCTGTCTTTAGGTCTGAACACTGTGAAGCAGAAAGGAGGCTTTTCTGGAAAGTGGGAAAGAACTTTCTTCAGTTAACGAAATTTGCTTCCAATCTGATAAAACTCACCTTTGTGCCACTTTTGAATTTATAACAAAACTCTTCAAAATATACTAATTTATCATTAACAAATGAAATATTGAGTATAATAAGAAAAAAGACCCCATTAGTCATGTAAAATCCTAACCAATAATGAGGATTTCCTCATTAAACACAAGCAGTAAAAAGTTTCCAAGAGCTTAACTGTATTTACACTGTACAGCTGGAACTCATGCAATAAGCATAATTATTTATAAAAATTCTTCTTGAAAAAAAGTCTTTTAGGTACACAATCTATTCATTACCTGCAGATATTTCACTGCAGAAATCACTGTACCAAATGTAAAAATTAATATTTTAAATTACTTCCAGTATTTCACATTTAGCCAGTTGCACAGATCCAATGTAACTGTTAGTAGTGACAGCCAAGGGACAGAATTTCTTGTGACTAATTAGACAAAATCTACACATATCAAAGAACTGAAAAAAATCTGAGAAGGCTTACTTGCTACTCCTGATGCAAGTCCATAGAGTAGTCCTCCTCCATCTGATGGCTGAGGGAAAACACGCGCTCCTGGAGGAGGTGGCTTTTCTTGTCTGATAAAGTTATACAATAAGGTTTTCACAAGTTTGCTGGTGTATGGAAGACTACACACACAAAAAAAGAAGAAAATCAAACTCATACTTATGGCAGTCACCTGATTTTGTATAATGATACATATAATCTATATAATCTCTTAATACATAAGGTTTAGCACAATTCAAAGAAATCTAGCATTATCATGTTATAGTGAAGACCACGGGGTTTGAGATTAGACTTGAAGCTTAATCCTGGCTTTCCTCCTTACTATGCCATAATCATTGGTCAAATCACTTCAACTCCTGAACTTCAATTTTCTTATTTGTAATCTGTATAACAGGTGAGATATTATAAAGTCGCATATAATACAGTACCTGGCACTTGAAGGGAGGTGGTAACACATAATCAGAGAATCACAAGAGCTACAAAGCAATAAAAGGCTATACTTTTTGAAGTATGACATTATTCAATTTATGCATGCATACAAAAAATATTAGTGTGTATATATATTTTTGTAATGTTAATACTCATTGCTTCTAAGTAAAAGGGTTATGTGATGATAGATCAGTTCTTTCAATCTAGAGAAAAATTTTTAATAGACTCTTGAGCCAAAGCTCTGATCTTTTTTCTATTATCAGTGAAGGTGCCATGGAAATGACAAAGGTAGCAAGAAGGATGTGAGAAAGGCAAAGCCCCCAACTCCTTGAGACCTTTAATCTAAGCTACTTTATCTTTGTTTTACATTCTAAAATTCTGTGAAGATTGTGTCAATAGAAGGTATGGGTGTGTGTGTGTGTGTGTGTGTATTTATCTATCCCCATCCCCACCCACAGGAGATTATAAGCTTCTGCTCAGGAGTACAGTCCCACATCCTAACACATGCCGGGCACATGGTTAGCATGCGATAAAGATTCGTTGACTTAAATAAAAGTAGGAACACTCAGTTGAGAGGCTGTTGAAATAGTCCAAACATGTGGTGATGGGGCACAGATTACAGCAGTCTAAGTGGGACTGGTGAGAAGGGGAAGATATAAAAATAACTTCAACAAATATTCCTGGATGACTGCTTAGACAAAGAGAATGATAGAGAAGGAAAAAGAAAGATGACTTCAAAGTTTTAATTCTACAAAGAAACCACTAGAGAAGGTCATGGAACTGGAGAATAAAATGGGCAAGAAGGATGGATAGCTTGAGCAAAACGGCAGAATCTGGTTCCCTATGTGTTGGGTTTGAAGTGCTGATAGAACAACCAGAGGAATGCCTGGTTGGTGACACGGAACAATGCTAAAGTAAGAGGACAAAACCAGAAATATAGATTTATACAATAAGAAACTAGACGAATTTAAAACAAAAACATACCATCGACCTCGCATCAAATACTTGTGACTGATGCTCTGTCGCAAAACTTCTTTGTGGAAAAGTTGGCAGGAAAGAAAAACAACCATTGTCGATATAGCTTCTACTGATATTTCATACGTAATATCTCTGGAGAAATAGGAAACAAAACAATAACGATCAGTTCGAAAGATTAAAATACTGCTCTTTTTTAAATAAACTATACATTTAAAAACTCAAATCTAAATATTCAACATGTTTCTAGGTTATAAAAAAATACTAAAATGTTTAACATAAAAATTAAATTAAGAAAAAAAATATGAAACCCTTTCCTAGGCATTAGCTTTTGCACTTGGGTCGGGTTCCCATTACTTTCCAATTGCTATCTCCTAAATTTCTATTAGTATATAATGGAAACAGTGACCAGCAATGCTCTGCTTTGAAGATCCATTCTGAAAACCTCATGTTCATTCCTGTTTACTTATAATACAGAAACAAATATTCAGACTGTAAAACTAATGAGAAATCACAGTATAGGGAAGAAAACATGCCTTTTCAAGTTGACAATCACTTTACAATGAGAACAATGGCATAGCCTAGATCTTCTATCTCTAGGGTCCACATTCTCAAGGCCAACTCTGCATGTCCGGCAAAGTATGAACAGTAAACAAATTATTCCTGTTTTATTAAGCATATTTCTATGATGAAGGACCACGCTAGTCCTCTCAACATCATTATTCCCTCTTAGAAACAAATCTTAGATCAAACAAAAAGGAAATAAAATTTCAACTGAGCAGGGAGCACAAACAGAAATAAATGCATCAAGAAATCTTCAGTTATTGCAAGTTTAAACATGATTACCATGGGGATAGTAACATGTTAGACCAGAGAAGTGGTAATCTCAACAACATAGCAAAAAGAGTAATGGCTCCAAAAGAATATCAAAATATTTTTACAGAAATGAAATATTCATGGAAAGCCCAAAGAAAAATACTTACTGCCTACTTAAATGAGGCTCATTAAACAAATTAAAATGACTTGATTCTAGGACTGAGCAAACTTAAATGCTACCAGATATTTTAAGGAGTTATTGCTGATAGAAATATATTTTTGAAACAAAATATACAAAATACAGAGAGGCCCATGCAATTGATCTAATAAAGGACATACAGGATAATCTGAATGGAATGACCTAAATTTTCAATGAACGATCTAAATTCTATACAAATTAATCCTAAAGTCAATGCAATCACAACCAAAATTCTCATAGGATATTTTTCAGGAACTTCACAGACTGACTTTAAAATTTTTTTGAAATAATAAACATATAGCTAAGTGAATCTTGAAAATGAGGAGTGAAGGGACTTTCTCTACCAGATACCAATCCATGCTATGCTGCTGTAGTAATAAAAACATGATATTTGCACAAAAAATAAACAGACCAATGGAATTCAATTGAGAACTCAACATGTAAGTTAAACCTATGTATTACTGGAGACGATATATAATAAACATGAATCCACAAATCAATGGAGAAAACACAGATTGTACAGAAGACTGTGCTAAGAAAAACTGGCTCATTTCATAAAGAAAAATGATTGATCCCTATTTTATAACATATCAAAGACCTACCACAGATGAATTAAAGTCTTGGATGTGAATGGTAAAACTAAATAAAAGAAAATGTACAATGATACGCTTGTAACATGAGCACAAGAAAAAACTTCTTAAATAAGAGCATAAACCATAAAGTCAAAAAACTGTACTTAACTACATCAAAATTAAGAATTACTGCTCAACAAATGAAACCTTGGATAAAGTTAACAGACAAATGATAGACTGGACGAAGAACAAGAAACTAAAGCTAGATTATTATAAGCAACTCCTGAAAATGGCCAAGAAAAAGGCAAGAACTTCACTAGGAAAAAAGAAAAGAGAGAGAGAGAGAACAAAAGATATAATTAGTTTAAAACAATGTTAGATCCCTTTATGCCTTAATAATGTAAAGCAGGGGCAGCCATATAATGATAATATAAAGCCTCATGTACTGCTGATGGGAATATTAACCAGCGCAGTCATTTCAAAGAATAACCTATGACCCAGTAATTAGGCCAAAAAATTTTTTACAGAAATATGCTTGAGGACTGTGGAAGGCATCCTCTAAATAACTCCCAATAATCCCTACTTCCTGATATCCATGTCCTTGTGTAACTGCCTCCCCTTGAATGTAGGCTGGATCTAGTGACTCTCTTCTAACAAAGAAAATACAGCAAAAGTGATAGGACGTCACTTCTAGGAGGAAATTAGCTTACAGAAAGATTATGACTTGTGTTGAGCATGTTCTCACTCTCTCGCTCTTCTATTTGCTTTTCTGAGGGAAGCCAGTTGACTTGCTGTGAGCTGACACATGGAGAAGTCCACATGCCAAAGAACTAAGGGAGGCCTCCTCCAGTCAACAGCCAGTGAGGAGCTGAGGCCCTCACTCCAACAACCCTACAGGAATTGAATCCACCAACAGCCTAATGAGAAATCTAGGAAGTAGGTCCTCTCTAGTCGAGGCTTCAGATGAGACCACAGCCCCAGCTCTAAGTTTAACTACAACCTCATGAGACATTTGAGTCAAAGTCAGGCACAAAGCTACACTGTATCCAGATTCTTGATCCTAAAATACCATGAAACAATGTTGTTTTAAACAACTAAGTTTTAGGGAAATTTATTATGTAGTAATAGATAAGTAATATAAAAACATTTATTATTTGTGGTGTTGCAAAGTTGGAGTCAGTCCAGGTGTCCATCACTGAGGAACTGACTAAAAAATGTGGTGGATGCGCACACATGAAGCAGTTTTGCTAGCAACAGACTAGCTGCTCATTTAGCATTACAGGTAACTCTTAAAAGACAAAAAACTCGGTGAGTTGTGTAACACAGTTCTATTTGTGTACATTAAAAATGCATATACACATAAGAGTAACATTTTGTACTTGAACATATACATATAAAAATACATGCATTAAACACATTAAAATGGCTGTTTATGAGAAAGTACCTAGTAGTAATTAACATAAAATACAGTAGGTACTTAATAAATATTGATTGGAATAAACCATCTAAAATTCTATATTTAAAAAATTCAATTTGCTAAAGTTATATGCTTTGAGAAGTCGGATGTTTCATTAATTTTTATACTGTTGCCATTAGCAAACTACCACAAACTTAGTGGCTTAAAACAGCGCAAATTTGTTATCATACAGTTCTGTAGTTGCAGTACAGGTCCCAAGGAGTTAAAACCAAGGTGTTAACAAGCTGCTTTCCATTCTGGAGGCTCTAGGGAAGAATCATTTCCTTCTGGTTTGAGTTGCTGACAGGATTTGGCTGCTCCTGGCTGTAAAACCTAGGCCCCCATTTTCTTGCTGGTTGTAAGCTGTGGGCACTTCCCAGCTTCTGGAGGTCCTTCATTCTTTGGCTCATGGATCCTTTTCTCCATCTTCAAAGCAAGTAATGACTTTGAAAGGTTCTCCGTGTTACACCGCTCTGATCCACCTTTCTGGTTTCTACCTTTAAGGGCTCAGATGATTAGACTGGGCCCACTAGGAAAATAAAGGACAACCTCCCCATCGAAAGGCCTTTAACTTTAACCACATCTATATCTAGTTGAAGATGTTTCTCTCTATTCCTACTTTGCTGAGAGTTTTTTTCATGAATGAATGTTGAAATTGGCTGTGCTTTTTCCATATTTTGTAAAACAATCATATGTCTTTTCTCATTTATTTTGTCAATGTAGCGTATTATATTGATTGATTTTCAGGGGTTAATAATATTGCATTCCTGAGATAAGCCCCACTTGGTTAGGATGTATTATCCTTTTCATATATCGCTAGATGCAATTTGCTAATTTTTTAAAAAGATTTTTCTCCTATATTCATGAGATATCAGTCTATAATTTTCTTTTTATATAATGTCATTGTTAGGCTTTAGCATCAGAGTTCTGCTGGCCTCAAAAGACAAGTTACCCTATCCGCTTTTGAAATACCTTATTGAAATATGTACTTCATGCGGTAATATTAAGCAAAGATAGAATAGCATGTACCATATGAATGAATATACATGCAGTGCTAATATGCAAAAAATAAAAACAGCAATCCTGGGAGATGAGATTATAGGTGACTATTTTTTATTATTTTCAATTTAAATTTATTAAATGAGAAGGGCATTAAAAAAACGAGTGGAAGAAACATTTGCTTCAAACTGGTTGTCTCTATGAGGAAATTTCCTGGGAAAAAAAAATCATGAGAGATGATCTATCTAATCTCATTTCGACTACAGATACTTCACATACTCTTTTATGTATTTGGATTTTTGAATATAAATGTATCATCTAATTGAAAACTGAATTAATCAAAAACTAAAAATAGAGGATTATCATAAAGTTGAACTTTTATTGATTAAAATCTGATGACACATTGAAATAAAAGCAAAAAACCTGAATCACATCATGGTATACTGTGGGAATCATCGACCCGAAATTAGAAAACCCAGGACCTGCTTCTAAGTTCCCTATTGAACTCATTCTGTTATCTTCAACAAATAACTGGGTCTCCATTTCTTATTTGTAAATAAGTATATTGGGCTAGATGATCTCTAATATCATTTCTTGCTGTGACTTTCTATAGTGCTCAAAAAAAAAAAGGAATTCAAGGCAATGTTAGATTCCTATGAAAATAAAATTTAAAATATATTAATTAGGCTATCTTAAGTGCCAAATTATTAGAGAAATGAGCCAGAGAGACCAATACTTGAAAGAAACCAAAATTCTACCATGCTGAGTGTGGTGGTTTTTAAAAGATGAAAAATGTTTTAAGCCAACAGATCTTTCTTGTTTTAATGTCCTTGTATAATCTTCAGAAGACTTTCATTACACAATCACCAAAACAAAGTCAACTTTAAAAAGCCAAAGTGTTGCTTTGGCTGCCATATTATCCAAGAACTTTCCACCATCTGGCTGGAAATGTCCTAGAACAAACTACTGTTGGAGCAAGTAATTAATTTCATGTGAAGCAAAAAAGACAGGCACCATGACCTTGTACTGCTCTGTGAGGGCAGAGTGGAATATTTGGATAAAGACAAAAGCCTTCATGAAATGGGTGTTAGTG